CGTGGAGGAGACGAATTTAGTCCAAGTGTTTATTATTTTTTTCCCCTCAAAGGGCACGTACAAATCCACCCGGATTTCCAGCTCCCAGCTGGAGTCCTTGGGTTAGTTCACATGCAGTTAACAAACAGCTCTACCGTTACATGGAAAAATGCTGAAAGTCAACCCCCCCCCAAAAAAAAAAATAAAATAGCATATAAGAAAAGCCCTTGGGGTGGTTTTGTTTTTTCCAAAGGGAGGGATGCTAGTTATAGGGAGGGAGGGAGGCAGGGGGATGTACTGGCTCTGAGTGTGGGGATAGAGGGGGATATCCACCCTATCCATACCCTTTGGGATAGAGATCTGGATCCATCCCCAGTGAGTGGGGGATGCTTCCATGGGGAAAGGACCTTTGTTCCACCCTCACACAGTTCCTGTGCCCAAGGGCAGCTCCAAAGAATCCAGTTCAGCTCATACTGGTCTCCCAGGGATCTGCATGGGATGGAGCAGGGAGTCCATCCCTGCTCCATGGGGAAAGGGCTTTTACTTCATCCTTGCAGGGCTCCTGAGGATCCCTGTGCCAAAGGGCAGCCCCAAAGGATCCAGTTCAGCTCATGCTGATCCCTTCCACCCCAGCCTGGAGCCCTGGAAATTCTGGATGCCCTACCAGGGTGGCAGGACCATGCCATGCCCTCCTGGGCACCACACCCCCCTCCAGAGATGTCCCTGTAGTCTCTAACCCTCTCCCAGGGGATCCATGTCACCCCCAGGGCTGTCCTGCAGCAGGAGGAGAGCCTGCCCCAACCCACACCTGCCCTGGGGAGCCAAACTACCAAAACCAGCCTAAAACCACCCAAAAAAACCTGCTACCAACTACATTGCAGTAAACCCACTCTGCAGCAGAGCCAACCCACACCTCTGCCCACGAGAGAACTCCCAAACCCCAGGAGCACAGCAAAAGAAACCCAGCAAGGCCAAAACATCCATCATTCCCCAGCCTGGAGGGCAGCAAGGGGGGCACAGGGGATGGATCTGCCCTCATGGTGCAGTGCCAGGGGGTGACACAGCCCTATGGGCATCGGGAAGGGTTGGGATCACTAGTGGTTGGTGCTGCATTGCTACAGGAGCCAAGGAGCTGCTGCCTGGACCCCATGCCCAGCCCCCTCCATGCTGAGAGGGTGCTGGGGGCAGTGTACTCCTGGGATTTACACTCCAGAAGGCTCCAACTGGAGAATAACACTGGAGCAGCATCTCCAGGACATGCCATAAGGCAGGAAGACTTGAGGAGCTGCCAAAGGGAGATTAAGGGGTGTCCTGGGGGGGGTCTCTGGGCTTGTCCTCCAGCCCCTGCAGCGTGTCCTACCGCGTGTGTTTCTCCTTCCAGGTGCCTTTGTTCCCGTGGGTGCTACGCGGGGAACTCTGCGCCGCGGTGCCGCGCGGGCTCAGCGCCGACAGACAGGTACGTGGCTCTCATGCTTGGGGAGTACTGCAGGGGAGCACAAGGGGGTCAGGGCACCCCCAGGGCACCCCCTGCCTCCAGCACAGCCCCTGTGCTGCCACACCAATGGGGAGATGGGATGGAGGGGGAGTATTGGTTCCCAGGGGGATGGATCCCTCATTAATCTGCAAGGTGGGGATGGGTGGAGGGTTAGATCCTGCTCATAGCTTCTCTGAAGGTTGGGGGAGATGAGATCCCCAAGCTAAAATCCTTTAACTCTGCTGTGCCCATTCTCAGGATGTCAACCAGGTTCATTCATCACCTTCCTAGCTCCAGCCTGGCATCAAATTGCATCCTATGGGTGTGAATCCCTAGTTAATCTGCTAGGTGGGGATGGGTGGAGGGTTAGATTCTGCTCATAGCCTCTCTGGGGGCTGGAGGATAAAAGACACCCCAGCTAAAACCCTTTAGCTCTGCTATGCCCATTCCCAGGATGTCCACCACCTTCCCAGCTCCAGCCTGGCAGCAAATTGCTTCCCGGGATGAACTCCTAGTTAATCTGCTAGGAGGACATGGATGGAGGGTTAGATTCTGCTCATAGCCTCCCTGAGGGTTGGAGGTGACAAAATCACCCAGCTAAAACCCTTTAGCTCTGCTATGCCCATTCCCAGGATGTCCACCACCTTCCCAGCTCCAGCCTGGCAGCAAATTGCTTCCCATGGGGATGAATCCCTAACTAACCTGCCAGGTGGGTCTGGGTAGAGGGTTAGACTCTGCTCATAGCCTCTCTGAGAACTAGGGGGGACAAAACCCCCCAGACAGGACCCTTCAATCCCCTCTAGCTCTGCTGTGTCCATTCTCAGGATGTCAACCAAGTCCATCCATCACCTTCCCAGCTCCAGTCTTGCAGCAAATTCATCCCAAATCATTGCACATGGATATGTCTATGAGGTAATAGTGAGCCCAGGGCTGAGCTCCAAACCTTCACACCCTCCAGCCCCCCATTTCTCCAGGGATTCACAGCAGGGAGGATCACTCAGTCAGGCATTAAGGAAGATTATTCTGAGTTTGTTATTCTGGACTCGGAAAGTCCTTCCTCAGGGACCTGAATCCTGGGTAAATTAGACCATTCAGGGCTGGGAGAAGTGCTCAAATTAATCCCCCCCACTCGTGTGTCCCCCCCAGGGAAGAGGCTGTTGCCAGCTGCCAGGTCTGTGTGAAGGGATTACACAGCCTCCATGCTTTCACCTACTGGAAAATCATCCCTGGAAGAAGGGGGCACAGTATTCCTGCCATGGCAGCATTCCCTGTCCTGGTGACTGGGGGGGCTTCACTGCTTTGGGGATGGAGATGGGGATCAGCATCCCAACATGTGGTTGCTGCAAACCTTCCTGGGGACAAAATATGTCCCTGTCCCCCCTCCCTGAGCTCTCCACACTCTTCCCAAAAACCAACCAGGGAAAGGGGATGGAGGGAGGCACTGAGGAGGAGGAAGAGGTGGGGGGACCTGGCAGCTGCCCCGGGATAAGGAGGGAGAGGGAAGCAGCTGAACTTACTCTTGATGGGCAACTTAGCTCCAAAATAATGGATGCAAAAAATTAAAAGAAATCATAAAAACAAAACAAAACAAAAAGACAAGGAATAAAAAATAAAGCAGCAATACCAGACAGGGTGGGATTGAAATGAGCAGGGAAATGGGAACGTGCAGGGAGACTGTGAGGAGTGTCCTCTGAAAGTCAGGATGGAAACAATGTAGAGAGGGAAGGGAAGGCTATTTCGGTCCCCCCTCTCACAGCCCCCAGCTGGGAACTGGGTTAGACATGGCCAGGAAAGAGCCATGTCCTCTGCAAGGGCAGAGGCTCACCTTTCCCTGTCCCCATCCCACCCCACACCCCTCGAGGGTGCAGCTCTGGGTGACACAGAGTCTCACACTTCCCAGTCCTCCCCCCTGACCTCACAGGGAGGACTTGGCCTCATCTGCCCAGCGTACCGTGGGGGGAGGAGATCCTCTGCCGATCAGGGGCACATTCTCATAGCGAGGGTTCCCTCCAAACAGCACAGCCTGGTTCCTGCAGGGGCCAGAGCCATCCCCCTGTGCCAGCAGCACAGCTCCCGCCGTGCCGGGGGCACACGGGGTGGGACTCACATGTACTCGGAGACAGGGGCGTTGGACACGGTCTGGGCAGGGGGGTGCAGGCTGCTCTGGCTGCCCAGGCTGCTGCTGTAGCTGCAGAAGCTGCGCAGCTGCCCCCGGGGTGGGTGGTGGGTGGCGATGCGCCGTGCCTGGGGGTTGAACGGGTCCTCCTCATCCATGTCGTCGTAATCACGGTCCCTGCCGTGGG